TAGAGTTATTTTATTGATTTGCGATCATTTAAGTTTGTAAAAGTTTGAAAATATTTAAATTGAATCTTTTCGTTTCTCTCTGACTTCAACAAAATCACACAATAACTATTTTAATGGTTATAAACGTTTCCCTATTCCACTTCGGTGCAGTGCAATTAATTCAAACTGCAACGATTGGAAACTATTTCTTGAGTAAACAACTTACTTTGATTTGGATTTTGAAATTGAAATTGAAGAACGCAATAGGTACACATTGACAAGTACATTTGCTTCGTAGTTAGATACATTTACCAACTACAGAAGTATGCCAATTCATAGTTGCGAAGGTTCTTTCGCACATTGAAGCAACTTTGTTGCAACTTCTCAATTTAATAAAGTTTTCAAGTTTTTAACTTCGGCGTTTTGTATTTGCGCTTTTTTTCACTACATACTGCTTTAATCCTTTGTAATTGTTTATCAATGAAAATTCTTTTCATCGTCCTTGTACACAATTTATAAAATAAACTTTAAATATTGTAGTGCCAAAGTCAGTTTGCCTTCTTCTCGAAAACGCTCCTTCTACTATTCCTTCGAACCATCAATGCCGCTTGTACTAACGCCCATCAATGAAAAGTTTTGTTAAGAAAATTTTGCTTGAACTTGATAAATATTGATTTTGCACTGAACAAATATTGTTCAATCCTTCATACAAATCAAGTACGCACTTGTACTTTTCTATTGGCAATTTAATAAATGTCAAATCTAGTGAACTTAATTTACACAAATGCTCCAAAATTCTATTTTACATACATCAAACATTTAATATTAAAGCAATGTATATCAATGGCAGGATATGGTGTTTAATTAAATATTTTTCTTGATTTAAGTTAACTAATCTTTCTTGAGTATCTTCATCAATTACAAGCCCTCCCACTAAACAGTATCTATGCTTCGCCAAAGAATCTAGGTGGTTTCAAACCCTGAGTTTTCTCTATATATGGTAACACAATGGGCCAGTAGGCCTAAGTGGAACTCCTAGGTAGCAGCGGTATAACCTTACCTAACCCTTTGTCATATTATGTACTTATACGATTGTGGTTTTTAATTTAAGAAACACTGCAAGAAAACATTTTTAAGTATTGTATTGAACTCGTTGTGTAATTTTACTTTATCTCATCTATTTTTTAAAACCTTTCTTATGTTAATTCTTTTATAAGCAAACACAATCTATTAAACTTTATTTAAGTTTAAATCATTGATGAACGCATTATCTTCAATGTCTTTTTAAACCACAATGTTACAATGTATTATCATATTTAAAGTATTTCCGTGAATACTTCGCTGCACTTAGTTTGTTACTTAATTGAGGTGGTAAGAATATCGAATCCTCCTTAATTAGTTAAATAACCTGTTTTGAACCCATAAATTCTCGTAATAATGGATAAAAAAAAGATCAAGCTAAAACCAGCCAGAGGTATTTATAAAGACAAGAGTGTAAAAGTAGGGAACTCCCAGAAACTTAAGCCTAGTTCTGACAAAGCCTAGACATAGCTACACAGGTTTTCTGGTGCCATTTCTTCGAAAGCTGGTAGACACGCATTGCAGGCGATACCACGATATTAACATAGATACCTCTGATTTGCTTCAGTGTATCAAGTCAGAGGTTTTTCATTTGGAATATATTGGCCACATAGCCCTTGACCTAACTGCTGAGGTGATATGGGCCCATTTACTATCTGCCTGTCGCAAAAAATGGTTATAAATCAACCTCCGACTGTAGCTGGTAGGGGTAGGAATTGAAAATGGGGGTATCCGTAGAAGAGACGCCTAGTCTAGCAAGCTCGTCTACGCACTCCAATCCTATTATATACAGAATGCCCGAAAATCCAAACTAAAGTTACCTTGGACCTCTCATATAGTACATTTAATGTGCCCCATGCACTTAATTCCACTTAAAGTTTGAAAATACTTTTGAATCCAACTTTTTGTAAAATCAAAAATTGCCATACTCAGCAATCTTGATATCATAGCTAATATATACATTACTGATAATTAGTAATGATTATCAATTAGATAACTTTTTTGGAACAAGTTAAGGTCATTAATCGAGGTTGAGTGTACATATAAACCATATCATATATATATTTATATACTTGTACAAAAATAAAGCATAACCCCATATTTAATAAATTAATGTACTATATAGATACATATGTATCTATTCACTTAACAAGTGATGTCAAACTTAAGTTCATTTTAGATTATTTAAGTAACATGATATGACAAAATTTTACGCACCCACTTGACAGCTTACTTTCTATGGTTTAACATATGTAATGGCATCCTTTTATGTAAGTAAACAAAATATACGAACCCTAAAATTTGGGTTTTTGCTCATTAAATGTCAATACAGCGATTATGAGTAAAGCTTTAAGGATACGCCAATGGAAAGTGTGCACTTAAATCTAAATATAAATTTGTACCTTTCATAGGCAATATAGAATTAATATACATAATAATAACAGAATCAATAATCTTTACAATATTCATAGCAAATCCTACTAAACTGATATATGATGAAAGTGTAACGGAATATATAATGTAAAGCAGAATGAAGGGAAATCTCAAATTTATTTTTAAACAATATTTCATTTCTGCAATTCATTTCAACTAATAAAAAATAATTTAAAATTTTAAAATATAAGTGAACATGCAGATATATCTTCAACCTATAGATTATAGATCCACCATATTAAGCTATGAGAAATAATGTACAGCATAATCGTCATCTAAATTTTGATCATTATAAATTCTATTATATTCATATCTGCTCTCGAGATCATCCTCGCATACGTGTACTTTTATAAACACAACTTTGTCGTATGTATTGAGATTTATTTTATCGTGTGATATAGCATAGATACTCCAACATTAGCATTACTAAATTTTTTTATATATTTTTGTTATTTGCTTTTAAACATTATATCTGTGTCTCAATACAAAAATGTATTATTTTATATTATTCCAATAATTTGTAAATAGATCCCATTATATCTAAATTACCGCCTTATTGGTTATTGTAATATCGTTATAGGTACATCGCTCAATGACTTTGCTATGCGTATCAGGTTCCAATTCAAATTGGTGCTGAAATGCGATATCTCGGGCAACTGCAAGGCGGATAAACTCGCCGAGGCAGGCACTCTTCTCCCTGTCATTCACATCTCAGATATTGGCGTACCAGTTGCAACAATTAAACTGGCACTTAAACAAAAATATGTGAGCATAGCCAAGCAAAATTAGGCAGACTAATTCTGCTGCCGGATTTCTATGTTGATCTGATCTAAATTAAACAAAAAAGTTAGCTACTTCAGCTAAGGTAAAACCTGCTTAGCACTGTGGTATTGATGCTGACGACCCACTGCATAATATGAAGACATGCTCTGAGACTGGATCTGTAAAAACTTAGCTGTAATAACTTCAGTCGCAGACATGTATGACACTAAATGGGTATACTATTCTTAGTATAGCTCAAGTTTGGATTAAAATAAACAAAGATGAAGGATAACAAGTGCAAACGACGAGTGTCATTAACAGCACACACACAAAAAATGAAAAATGAAAAGTCAAACAAAAGGTTAAGTAAACTTTTCTATTCACGTAGAACAAATGCAAACAAAGCATATTGAGACCATATTGAAAAATATTTTGTGTAATAGAACTTTTTGTCATCAAAAATATATTGTACGAATATATAAACATAAATATTTAGAACTTGCATAGACATATTCTCCATACAGTTTCCTCCAACTCAGACCAAATAAAGTGCTTCAGTGGAAATAACCAATCGAATAGGAAGTGGTAGAATGAACATGTTATAATTGAAAATGTCAGCAGTTGTTATGATTTCTACGCTTGTTAAGCTTAACTTAATTTATAAAAATATAATATGTGTAGTAAAATAATCAATTATTTGTTCATGAAATTGAAGATTTATTCCTCGTCCCTATTACCAAAAATTGAGACAGTCCATTTTCAAAAGCCTCTCTTGAAGCAAATTTTTCGCTACAAAAATCGTCTATCGTTCGCCATTGACAGAAACACATGGTAATCACTTGGTACCAGGGCTGGACTATAAGGTGGATGCATAAGAACTTCCCAACCAAGCTCCCGGAGCTTTTGGTGAGTCATCGATGTCGATATCGATGTGTGTAGCCTGACGTTGTCCTCATTGAACGTGATTCCTCTTCCTTTAATATTGCCCATTGCTGCCCGTTTCTGAGCGATTACTTCATTCAGATGATCGAATTGGTGACAGTACAGTTCCAGTTAAGAGTTTTGCCATAGGGGAACAGCTCTTAGTATATGATGCCCTGCTAATCCCACCAAACACACAGCAAAACCTTCCTGGCCGTCTACCACCGTTTCAGTTAGCGCACTGCGAGTCAATCACCGTCAAATTTTCGCTTGACGTAGTCGTAAGTGATCCACTTTTCATTATTAGTCACCAACCGCTTCAAAAATTGATTGATAACTCGTTAACTGGTGTGGCACCCATACATCGAGCTTCTTTTTGTATCCAGCATTACATAAATGGTTTCAAATGTACAATGATTTTTTTGCATTTTTTAACTCTTGGGCAATTGACACAGTGCTTACATGATGATCCGACTCGACAATTTCCATGATTTTATTATCATTTTTGACAATTCAGCTTCCAGTGTGTGGTGCATCTTTGATATCGAAATTATCGGAACGGAATCAGAAATCGACGACACCAAAATTACGCTATTTATACTATGAATTCTATGTACGGAATAGGAAATAGTGAGTAAAGAATCCAAACAAAAATGAAAGAAATTCTTGGGTAGACTAGGCAACTATTTCGGATAATGCCAACAGTAGTAGTTTTTAGATATCAGTAGTTTTTGGAAAAATTCGTTTGGTTTCTTTGTCCGTAGGTTATTTTTGAACTAGAAGTGTTAAAATAATTTTTTGAAATATTAATATATTTTTGGCACAATTTATTTAAGACTCTTTTAATACAACAAAATAATTTTTACTAACTATTTTTGTTTTTTAAAAATGTTCACTAATGGCTTATGGTTTGTTTGTCCATTGTTTGATCATTGTTTGATTATTATTTTAATATTAAATTTTGCGTATTTAGCATATGGATGGGAGATTCTACCACACCAAAGCATGTTTTGTGGACTCTTTCAACAAGACTAAAACCTTACTCTACCACTACTTGGTTGCCTTTGTGACATTGCTCCATCCTTAAAGTTAACAGCTGATGGAATATTTATTTGTTGATTGATTGAATTTGATTTATAAGTTGGCGGCATCGGGGCATGACCAGCATCATAATTATTATACATAGGTTTTCCACATTGTTGCGAGTATTCGGTATTATTTCTTTCATTTGAATTATTATATCTACGAATATGCGCCTGTCGTTCCTGCATCGATAGAGTTGGCATCGTCGGTGTAGTATTCATTTCTGAACTAAAATTTGCAAATTTGTAATATTCTCTTGAAGTCGGATAAGCCTCATCTTGTTTTAAATCATCATCTATATAAAAAGTATTATTCTTTTGATTGAATTTATAAATCGTTGGTGTTCTATGACGAATTCCTCGTGATGTAGTTGGTTTTGAATCATAATTGGAGGAATTTGTTTCTTGAAAATAACAATGTTCAATTCTGTGACTAGAATTAACATTTTTTGAGTTCAAATTATTTTTTTCTGTACTGCATACAAACTCTTTTCCTTTACCACCAGCTTGTCTTAAATTATTTTCTTTTACAGAATCAGACTGATTTGGGCAAGTTGATGGAACACCAGATGATCGTACTACACTTTCACGTCTAGTATATAATTTCGGACATTGCCTTGAAAGGCTATTTAACCTTTCATTGGCAGGTTTAATAGGACATTTAAATGGAATTTCTTTGAAATGATCGTCTTTCTTTGGTCGGGTAAGACTTCTTTTCCTGGGATATGTACATCCTTCAAATTGAGATTTTCGACTTCTAGTAATATTTAAATTTTGATTTTTTTGTTTGGGTGAATATGAACATGTTGCCACATTATCACTTCTTTTTGAATTTATTAAATATTTCCTTATCTTTTCTGATTTCTTTTGTATGAAATCAGCACTGAAACTCTTTTCATTATTACTAGAATTCAAATTGTATTGAGCAGCAACACTCTTAAGCATTGGTTCATTAATTTTCTTTCCATTCTGAATCTTCTTATGGCTTTTTGATTTATATTCTAAACTCTTTTCAGATACCACATTTGCTATATTATTATCTGTACTTCTTAGGTATTGTGGCTTTATTTTATTAGAACCATTTTTGTTAGGAATAATATTATGTCTAGCTGATTCATACTCGACATTTTCGTTGTCGTCTTCACTGTTTCTGTCATATTGTCCACCTTCATGGCGATTTGCATCTTCATCTGCAGCTAATGTCCTGCGTCTATATGGAGTATACGGTATATAACTATAACGACCCTCTTCATCCTGTACCCACTCTTCAGTTTGTGTGCTGATAGATATTCTGTTCGAATCTGAATTTACTGAACTGATATACTCAATATTCTCATTATTGTTAGTGTGTGATATTTTATTGTCGTATAAGTCTGTATCTATTATTAATTGTTCCTGAGTGGAATCTGAAAGTTTCCTTTCAAATCGATTTGATTGAATTTTATTTGATTTTTCAAGAGCGCTATAGGTATTCATTTCGTCTTTTGAATTATCCTTGTATAAATCTTTAGTATTATCACCAGTTTTCATCATGTTGTTGGTTAGGCTGTCATCATTTAGTGTTCTAGTAGACAACATATTCTGAACAGAATCGTTATCTAAATTTTTTTTCTTCATTTCATCCACCATCCAATTACTGTAATTATAGTCACCTGGAGCAAACCAAGATACCCAGCCGTAGGAAACATTAACTGGATCTTCAGCATTTTCTTTTTCATTTTTTGCGTTCAACTTTTCTTTACATTTACAGCAATTGCAATGATCTTCTTTATTATTATTAGATTTCTGAGTATCGGATTTATTATTCATTTTAACAGAACCTTGAGGCTGAGAAGCGATTTTTTCTTTACTTTCAGTTTTATTCTTATTTTCCCTTGGTAAAACTTGTTCACCTTTTTTGGCATCAGATATTACTGTATCATTTTCTACCGCTACTTTTGTTGCTTTTTTTTCACATGACTTGTCATCACAAGAATATTCATTTAATGAATTTTTTTTTTCTTTAAGAAATTTGCAACTACTGTCATCACATTCCGTTTGTGTATCTTTTTCACTCTTTTCTTTTTGTTTAACTTTATCATCCATTTGTTCATTTAAAACTTCTTTCTTTTTGTATACTGGCTCTGTTTGCGTATCTTTTTCTTGAAACTGTTTTTCAGATTTTTTCATGGACTTAGCGGAGCTTAATTGATCCTCTTCACTTTTTCCTTTTTGTTTAACTTTATCATCCATTTGTTCATTTAAAAGTTCTTGCTTTCTGTATATTGGCTCTGTTTGCGTATCTTTTTCTTGAAACTGTTTTTCAGATTTTTTCATGGACTTAGCGGAGCTTAATTGATCCTCTTCACTTTTTCCTTTTTGTTTAACTTTATCATCCATTTGTTCATTTAAAAGTTCTTGCTTTCTGTATATTGGCTCTGTTTGCGTATCTTTTTCTTGAAACTGTTTTTCAGATTTTTTCATGGACTTAGCGGAGCTTAATTGATCCTCTTCACTTTTTCCTTTTTGTTTAACTTTATCATCCATTTGTTCATTTAAAAGTTCTTGCTTTCTGTATATTGGCTCTGTTTGCGTATCTTTTTCTTGAAACTGCGGTAACGTTCTTTAGTTTTTTTTCATGAGATAGCGGAAACTGGAATTGATTCTTTTACTCTTTTACAGTTTTGTTTACTTTTGTCCAATATTGTTCGTTTCAATATATCTGTCTGTCCATGATGCTGGATCGTTGCTGTAGAAACTTGTGGGCACATTCGGACTTGCATGTTTTCCATTACATGTTTCTATTCTTTAGCTTTAACTTTTGTCTGAATTGGTACTCATCACTCATTTTAAGCACGCACACTTGCAAGTTTCCTTTACTAGTTCCCGTCTTTTGTCCAACGTGCCCCCATATATTGGGCAGATGAGTATTTTTGCTGTACTATCAATTAAATCAGTGGATTGTACTTTCAGCTACATTTCCAGTTGTTTTGTTTAATTTCATTCTCTCATTAGACATGCCTACATTTTTACAATTACCATTACCTGTAGGTTTTTCTTTATACCGATCTTCACGGTCACTCTGGTTAGAACTGTTTTTGGTCGTGATTGACACAATTTCCTCCTCACTACTTAAAGAACCCCTAGAATAAAATTTTCGTGAACCAGAAAGTTCCTTGTTATATGTAGGCGGTTTTTCTTTCTTTTCCATTACTGTGCACATACATGACTTTTTGCTTACTTCTGATGAAAAGGAATTGTTTTGAGGTTTCATTCTATTTAGACTAGAATATTTATCTGATGACTTCGTGTTATTTGTACGAATATCATCAAAGTTGTTACGCATTTTACATTTACAAGACTCTGCTTTTTTGGTTGCATTAACATAAGATTCTTGTGATGACTGAGAATCAGTATCATTAGAAACCTTACATGAACAACTTCTATTCTTATTTTTTTTCTGCTCATTTGATTGTGACTCTCTTTGGCTCTTCAAATGATTTAAAATTTCACAGCACATTAATTTAATATCATTAAAACTATTTGATGAAGTTTTGATTCGATTGTTACTTTTATCATTTTTTACGCACTTACAAGTGGGTTTTGATCCACCACTTAAACCATTTGTTCCACCTATTGGAGTATTATGATATGTATCACTAGGTACGCACTTGCAAGTTGCTTTTGACGAATCTCTTGAACTTCTTCTCTCAACCATTCGAGAATCACTTTGTGTATTACTGTTACCGCACCCACAAATCGGTTTGGTTGCTGCACTTGAATAGTTTGTCTCACCAGTATAATTACTAGTTTCTGTATCATTGGTTACGCACTTACAAGTAGCCTTTGTAGTTGTACTTGATTTTTTTTTCGAAGTAGCACTTTTAAGTGTTGAAAATAAAAATTTGTTAAAAAATTGTTAAAATAATTTTTTGAAATATTAATATATTTTTGGCACAATTTATTTAAGACTCTTTTAATACAACAAAATAATTTTTACTAACTATTTTTGTTTTTTAAAAATGTTCACTAATGGCTTATGGTTTGTTTGTCCATTGTTTGATCATTGTTTGATTATTATTTTAATATTAAATTTTGCGTATTTAGCATATGGATGGGAGATTCTACCACACCAAAGCATGTTTTGTGGACTCTTTCAACAAGACTAAAACCTTACTCTACCACTACTTGGTTGCCTTTGTGACATTGCTCCATCCTTAAAGTTAACAGCTGATGGAATATTTATTTGTTGATTGATTGAATTTGATTTATAAGTTGGCGGCATCGGGGCATGACCAGCATCATAATTATTATACATAGGTTTTCCACATTGTTGCGAGTATTCGGTATTATTTCTTTCATTTGAATTATTATATCTACGAATATGCGCCTGTCGTTCCTGCATCGATAGAGTTGGCATCGTCGGTGTAGTATTCATTTCTGAACTAAAATTTGCAAATTTGTAATATTCTCTTGAAGTCGGATAAGCCTCATCTTGTTTTAAATCATCATCTATATAAAAAGTATTATTCTTTTGATTGAATTTATAAATCGTTGGTGTTCTATGACGAATTCCTCGTGATGTAGTTGGTTTTGAATCATAATTGGAGGAATTTGTTTCTTGAAAATAACAATGTTCAATTCTGTGACTAGAATTAACATTTTTTGAGTTCAAATTATTTTTTTCTGTACTGCATACAAACTCTTTTCCTTTACCACCAGCTTGTCTTAAATTATTTTCTTTTACAGAATCAGACTGATTTGGGCAAGTTGATGGAACACCAGATGATCGTACTACACTTTCACGTCTAGTATATAATTTCGGACATTGCCTTGAAAGGCTATTTAACCTTTCATTGGCAGGTTTAATAGGACATTTAAATGGAATTTCTTTGAAATGATCGTCTTTCTTTGGTCGGGTAAGACTTCTTTTCCTGGGATATGTACATCCTTCAAATTGAGATTTTCGACTTCTAGTAATATTTAAATTTTGATTTTTTTGTTTGGGTGAATATGAACATGTTGCCACATTATCACTTCTTTTTGAATTTATTAAATATTTCCTTATCTTTTCTGATTTCTTTTGTATGAAATCAGCACTGAAACTCTTTTCATTATTACTAGAATTCAAATTGTATTGAGCAGCAACACTCTTAAGCATTGGTTCATTAATTTTCTTTCCATTCTGAATCTTCTTATGGCTTTTTGATTTATATTCTAAACTCTTTTCAGATACCACATTTGCTATATTATTATCTGTACTTCTTAGGTATTGTGGCTTTATTTTATTAGAACCATTTTTGTTAGGAATAATATTATGTCTAGCTGATTCATACTCGACATTTTCGTTGTCGTCTTCACTGTTTCTGTCATATTGTCCACCTTCATGGCGATTTGCATCTTCATCTGCAGCTAATGTCCTGCGTCTATATGGAGTATACGGTATATAACTATAACGACCCTCTTCATCCTGTACCCACTCTTCAGTTTGTGTGCTGATAGATATTCTGTTCGAATCTGAATTTACTGAACTGATATACTCAATATTCTCATTATTGTTAGTGTGTGATATTTTATTGTCGTATAAGTCTGTATCTATTATTAATTGTTCCTGAGTGGAATCTGAAAGTTTCCTTTCAAATCGATTTGATTGAATTTTATTTGATTTTTCAAGAGCGCTATAGGTATTCATTTCGTCTTTTGAATTATCCTTGTATAAATCTTTAGTATTATCACCAGTTTTCATCATGTTGTTGGTTAGGCTGTCATCATTTAGTGTTCTAGTAGACAACATATTCTGAACAGAATCGTTATCTAAATTTTTTTTCTTCATTTCATCCACCATCCAATTACTGTAATTATAGTCACCTGGAGCAAACCAAGATACCCAGCCGTAGGAAACATTAACTGGATCTTCAGCATTTTCTTTTTCATTTTTTGCGTTCAACTTTTCTTTACATTTACAGCAATTGCAATGATCTTCTTTATTATTATTAGATTTCTGAGTATCGGATTTATTATTCATTTTAACAGAACCTTGAGGCTGAGAAGCGATTTTTTCTTTACTTTCAGTTTTATTCTTATTTTCCCTTGGTAAAACTTGTTCACCTTTTTTGGCATCAGATATTACTGTATCATTTTCTACCGCTACTTTTGTTGCTTTTTTTTCACATGACTTGTCATCACAAGAATATTCATTTAATGAATTTTTTTTTTCTTTAAGAAATTTGCAACTACTGTCATCACATTCCGTTTGTGTATCTTTTTCACTCTTTTCTTTTTGTTTAACTTTATCATCCATTTGTTCATTTAAAACTTCTTTCTTTTTGTATACTGGCTCTGTTTGCGTATCTTTTTCTTGAAACTGTTTTTCAGATTTTTTCATGGACTTAGCGGAGCTTAATTGATCCTCTTCACTTTTTCCTTTTTGTTTAACTTTATCATCCATTTGTTCATTTAAAAGTTCTTGCTTTC